CGGACGCGGGCCGCGCCGGCAGGAGCTCAGGGAATGCCCGGAGCGGCAGAAGCCCCGGCGGCGCCCAGCCACCGACCACGGCGAGGACAAAAGCCGGGGCTGCGTCCCTGCCCGGCAGAGAAGGACCCTCCCGTGCGGAGCCGCGGAGCCTCGCCCCCGCTGTGCGGGTGCATTAAATTATTGGACTATCTATGTATTTATTTTGATAGTATTTGTGTTAAAACCATCTGTCTTAATATATATACATATATATATGTGTGTATATATGTGTGTGTGTGTGTGTGTGTGTGTGTGTGTGTGTGTAATCAATGTGTCCATTCCAAATAAACTACCTGACTTGTTCTCTTTTCTACCAGCCGGTGTGGTGCGGTGAGCTTCCTGTGGGAGGCAAGTGGGTGGCCCCTTCATTCAGTGTGTGTTGGTTGGGGGGAGCGGCCACCCCAGGTGTCCGAAGGGCAAGGAAGTGCTCTTTGAATGAACACTGTTATCCGTCGGACCCTGGCCGCACCGTCGCTGGAGGCGGGGAAGTGCCCTGGGGGTGGCCCTGACTTCCGCTCCCGGGTGTGGAATGGGGAGGACAGGGCCCCGGCTTTGCTCCCGGAAGCTACTCACAAAATGCCCCTGTGAGGTCATCCCGCCTCCCCCATCTGAGCTGCTTCGGCCCGCGGTGGGATACCCGACCCTAACTGCCCCCTCCCGCCCGCCTGCCCAGCCCCCTGAAAGGAAGCCTTCAGGCCTCTGGCTGCCCACCGGCCGCACTCCTCTTAACACGCTGCTGGCCAGTGCCTGACGTGCGGGGCCAGCAAGGTGGGCAGTGCTTCTGGGCCAACGGGAGACAGGCCTGCACCATTTCTGCCGGCGTGGCAGGAGGCTGAGGCCTCCGATTGGCCCAGGATGTGACATCAGGATGGGGAGGCCTGAGGTCCTGACAAAGCGGGCAGCTTCTGCCCTTCCTGCCTGCTGGGACCCTGTGCATCCAGGGTTGCCCCCAAACCCCCCGGCTCCGGAGGGGAGGTGTGCCTCTCCACCCGGGAGGGCTGTGGGTGATGAAGCCCAGGATGGAAGAAGGGGACAGGACGCTGATCCCGGCCTAGCCAGGGGACCTTCATTTCACCTTTGTGGCTGGAGGGAGCCAAGTGTGGGGGGCAGAGGTGAGGGGAGTGAAGGACCAAAATTGGGCCCTAATGTCAGTCACTTACCCTTGATGCGGGGAGGGGGGGCACCATCACAGGCCTCCTAATCGGGTGGCAGGGGTCAGACTGGGGAGGGGCTGTGCCTCTGCTGGGAGGCCTGCAGGAGCCTGGGTGCTGGGTCCAGAGAAGAAACCATTCCTGCCATGAATTTTCTCCTGAACAGCACTGTGAAGCCCCTGTGCAAATGGGGAGGGGGCTCCTTCAGAGAGTAGAAAAGACCAACCCCAGGGTGCGCCCCCATGCTGCCCTACCCTGGAGACCCCTCCCGCCAGACCTTCTGGGTGAATGACCAAAGTCAGACGGTGGGACCCCAGTTCCTGACAGGCTCAAGTGGAGGTGGGGTCCGGCCTGAGCGCTTGAGCCGGGAGGGTGGGCAGACCTTGGCTCTCTGAGGCCCCTCCAGTTGGGACGTGAAATTCTGAGGTTGGGGTTTCTGAGTTTAACAGCTTCTTTTAAAGGCAGCCTGCGGGGGAGGGGTAGCCTTCCTGGTCTCAAGGGCGTCTGTAGACACCTGACAAGGTTGTCCTTTCCATACTGGTCATGGGGCACGGCAGCCTGCTGGCCTCCCTGTGTCTGGTAGCCCTTCTCTGTAGCACCTGAGCTGGGAGGCGGGGGGAGGGGGAGGCACGCTCCCCAGTCCTCAAGCCTGGATGCTGCCCCTCCCCCCACTGGGCTCCCCAACGTGAAATGAGGGTCCTTTTCCTAGATCTCTTCCCAAGCGTCAAAAGTCCTGATCTTTTCAAACAACCATGTCCTGTTTCTGTTCACGAGTGGAAGCAATTTCAAGGGCCGAGGAGGGTGTGCGGGCAGCGCATGCTCGGCCCCAGGCGGGGGATTGGTGTGGGGTGGGGGGTGTGAAGGGGTGAGCACGGAGCTCCCTGTCTCTGGGGACGTCCGTGGGCAGAGCTGTCTGGGTGGCAGCAGGGGGTACTCCTCACTGACCTTGGTGGCGGACTCCGGGGGCAGGACCCACCTCCCACTGGGATGAACTTGGGTGATTCTGCTCTCCCTGGAGCCCTGGGGCACAGCTGCAGGCCCTCTCCTCCAGGAAGCCCTCCAGCATCCAAGGCTCCATCCTGCCCTCGTCCCCAGGCCCCCTGCCCAACTGATAGAAACCAGGCTGGAAGAGGTCGTAAGGGAGTTTATTGCCAGTCTGTGCCTGGGGGCCACGGTCACCAGGCTTTGTCCATCTTTGGGGGCACAGGCTGCCTCCAGAGGACCAGCAGGACAAGGAAGTTGACAGCGAACTGCACGTGGCCGAAAACGGGGACTCCGAAGCTGTGGTACAGGAGGCCTCCCAGGGTGGGCCCCAAGGTTCTGGTCAGCGGCTGCACAGAGGCGCAGAGGCCCAGCATGGTTCTTCATAGAGACAGGAGGTGCAATAGAGGCTACCAGGGCCGGGGGGGGGGGGGGGGAGGGGAGGGTCTCTCAGCATCACTGCCCCAGCCGCCCACGGCCTTGACACAGCTACAGCCTCCCTGTCTCCGCCGCCACCCTCCACTCCCCTGCTCCCTCCCTGCAGAGCCCCCCAGCCATGCAGGGGGAGCATGGGGCCCTCTCGGATGGGGATCTGAGCCTCTGCCCTGCTCCAGAAAGTTCCCAAGCACAGGAGGAGCCTGGGAACAGGGCCCCAGGTTGCGGGCCAGGCCCCCCCACCCCAGGCCTGCCTGAGAGGTGGCATCCCAGCCAGGGGCCTCCCAGAGCACCACGGTGAGGGCTGGGCCACCACACAGCCCTGTCACCTGGCTCCCGACCTCACGTGGACTGCAGGGAACTCCCCCCGGGGGGGGAGGGGCTTCGGGGCACTCGAAGGGCCCGCACCTGCTTCTCTGCACCCACTTCCCGGGCTCGCCTGGCTGCCTGCACCCCTCTTACCTGACACCCCTACCTCCACGCCCCTCTTGTCAGCTGTGCCCTATGAGGGCCACCAAGCTTGTGGCTCCTGTCAACACTGCCGTCTGCCCCGAGGGCCCCAGGCTCCAGGGTCTTCACAGCCCTCCGCTCTGGGAGCTGGCAAGCCCTGCCCCTGGGTCAGCTGGGCGTGGCCGGCCTCTCCAGACGCCCACATGCCCTCTCTCCTTCAGAGCAGCCTCTCCCGACGCCCACATGCCCTGCAGACACCAGGGAGCAATTACCGCCCCCTCTGTGGTTTCCGGTTCCCAGGCTGGTGCTGGGAACCGGCTCCTGGCTCCTTCCAAGCTGAGGGATGGTGCCTCTGGCACATGGGGCCCTGGTGGCCTGGATCTGCCCCGCCCTCCCCCCCTCTCAGGCCCTGCCCTCATCTCTCCAGGCCTTGCTCCCCTCCTCTCTCCTCCTGGCCTCTCACACCTGCCAGCCCACAGCTCAGGAAGCCCTCCAGGAAGCCCTCCAGGAAGCCCTCCAGGAAGCCCTCCAGGACCAGTCTAGCCTCCCAGGACCACGGAGCCGCAGGTCTGGCCGGCCTTGGGGTCCCCAAGGCAGTCCTGAGAAGAGGCCTTGCCCAGCAGCCTCCCCATTCTCATCAGGGCCTCTAGACCTCAGTCTGACCTTCCCAGACAGGCAGGTAGATGGACGGAGGGTCAGCCAGGGCCCTGAGCCTTCTGGCCCTGCTACCAGGGAGGGAGGTCTTTGACCTCAACCGGCCCACAGGAGCCCTTGACCTTGACCTGCACCGTGCCCGGGGCAGCACTGGGGCAGAAGCCTGGGCAGCATCGGGCCCAGGGACCCCCAGTCTGGATGGGAGACTCCTTGGCCTCAAGAAAGAAGGCGAGGTGCAGAGTGGGGGGACTGCGTGTCCACCTCTGGGGGCGCCTGAGTCCCACTGGGTGGCCCGGGGGCAGCACTCACTCCCTCACTCGTTCACTCAGGAGGCACCTGCACATCCCGTGCGCAGGGAGGGAACAGGAGGTGCTCCCCATGCTAGCCACCCCCTCTGGCCTCTAGCCATTCTCTGCCCATGCTTCAGAGCCAAGCCAGGAAGCCCTCCTCCCCTCCCCCAGGCCTGGCCCTGGGCTGATCAGCAGGGCCTGGTGCAGGGTTGGCTGGGCCTGGCTGGGCTGGGGGGTGGGCAGGATTCTCTCCTGAGCCCTCTTGCAGCCCACCATCCCCACCCTGCCCACTCAGACCCCCAGCCGCCCACCCTCCTCAATGCCCACTGAGTCCAGGCAGGTCCCACATCAGGGCAGCTGCTTTGCCCGAAACTGCTCAGCAAGCTTCCCAGAGAGGAGGGCCGGGGTCTCCCCAGGGCCTGCCTGTCACCCGGCCCGGGATGCCACACTCACCCGTGTCTGAGGCCTAGACGGCCTTGGTCAGCATGCTGTCGGTGACCACACTGAGGGCACAGAGGCTGAAGACCAGGCCGGGCAGGAGCAGGCAGAAGTGGAAGACGTTGGCCATCAGCGCCTGCCGAGGGGCAGAGCAGGGGTCATGGCCACAGGGGCCTTGCAGGGTCTCGTGGGACCAGGGTGGGACTGCCCATCCCTGAGGTCCCACTGAGGTGGCCCTGGGTTGGGGTAGAGGGGCCCAGGGGGCCCAGGAGCTCAAGTGCAAACTGGGCACCGGCAGAGGGTCAGGGGAGCGGGCCTGGGACCCTGCTCTTTGCGGGGCAGCCAGAGGCGGGAGCTCTCACCATGGCCAGTCCCACCACGCTGAACACCAGCACGCTGCCCCGGAGCAGGGCTCCCTCAGAGAAGTGGCTGCTCAGCCACCCGATGACCAGGCCCTGGAAGACCTAGGTGAGGGCGAGAGGGTGGAGGTGGGCGCAGCTGGGCCTGGGGAGGGGGTCTGGGCTGCGGCCAGCTGCGGGACCTCCCCCACCACCTGCAGCCCCTGAGGCCGCTGCCACCAGCCACAGCAGGCACCGGGCGCAGGGCACAGGGGTGGGCCTGTGGTACCCACGATGGCCTCAAAGTCCCAGGGGAGACGGGGCCAGCAGCCTGGGCACCTCTCACACACGCGCGCGCACACACACGCACGCACACGGATGCACCCATGCACCCGCATGCACGCACACACCCACGCACGTGCACGCACATACATGCACGCACACGTACATGCACCTGTGCACACACACACGTGCACAGCCAGCCACTCAGAGGTCCCGAGTTCCACATTCAAAACTAATCTCTGCAGTTTCAGGCGTGATAAACATATTTTAATCAAAGGGCCGGTTAACTCCTGATGGGGGTGGGGGAGGCCATGGCTTACGGTTCCAAAAGCTTCTTTGATAGGAAAATGCTCCCAGTGTGGCCCCGACTCCAACCCTGGGGACCCTTGGGGCCCTGGGAAGCCCCCTACCGTGTCACCTGGCCCCCATGTGCCCCATCCTGGCCCATCACTCGTCCTCAGCCCCCTCTTTGGCTGTCTCCTCTGGGAGGTGGGACCTGCCCCATTCACAGATGGTGGAGACCAGGGCACAGAGGAGAGGGGGGCTGGATTGGGACCCGAGCTCAGAGCCCTGTTGCCCATATGGGGTCGCCCTCCCAGCTGGCCCTATGGAGGCCTGGCCCCAGCAGGCGGGCACACCAGCTACTGTCAACTGGGGCCAGGGACTGGGCCAGTAGCCCTGTGTCCTCCACATCTCAGGAGGCCACAGCTCCAGTTACAACTGGGTAAACTGAGGCCCAGAGGGTGGATGTCACTTGCCTGAGGTCCCAGGGCTGGCCAGGAGTGGGGCTGGGCTGGAGCCCAGGGCGGTGGACTTGTCCTGAGCCTGGGCAGGTAAGCAGGGGGCAACCAGTCTCCCCAGATAACCCCCACTGTTGCTCCGCCCTCCACTCCCAGCTCTGTCCTCCTGGCCGCAACCCCTCCCCCAGCCCCAGGGTCAGCCAGCCAGGAGCCAGGTTAAGGTTAAGGCTCCCCTTGCTGCCCTCGTGGGGACACCAGAGCAGGGACACCCTTGACACTGGGGATGCCACTCAGAGGGCAAACCCAGCCCTAGGCCATCCCCAGGCCAGGGTGAGGCTCCCTATCTGGTCCCCTGCCACCTCCACCAGGCAGACAGGAAGTGCCCGGGGCGCAGTGGGTTTGGAGCAGCACCCCCTGGGGCTGGGGGTCAGGCCGGGGCTGCGCCCTGTGACGGGGCGGGCCCACCCCTGTGGAACAGGAAGGACCACTCTCGGAGCTGCCTGCCTGGCAAAACGAAACTGTCTCAAACCAGCACCAAAGATGTCCTTCTTTAAAAAAAAAAAAAAAATCCTACTTTCACACTTGCTTATCTTAGTTTTTGTTTGTTTAAAGGGAAGATCTACTTGGCAAGTGTCTTTTAGTGCCCTACGCCCGAGAGGAAACCACCAAACCAGGAGAGAGATTTCAATCTGTCTCAGCTTTTCATACAGAGCCAGAGACCAGGACCCTAATGTACTGGGGTCGTCTTTCCATTTTCCCATTAACTTAAACAAAGCCTAAACTTTCGTGCCTTACGGGTTATTGCATGCAACTAGAGCTACCAAGCACACCAGAAATTTCACTTTCTCCCAACCCTCCCATCTGGAGACCCTGTCTGCTCACCTGTCCTGCTCCCCGCTGCCCTGGCCCGAGCCACCTCCACCTCCCCGGAGGTCACATCAGCCACAAGCACCCAGTTCCCCAGCAGGGGGCTAGTAAGACCACATCCAGCCTCCAAATGGTCCCACCCACTCTGAGTAAATCTGAGTAAATCTGGGTCCTTCTTGGCCTTGCAGACCATGCCCCACACACGTCTTCAGAGGGCAGTCCTCTCCCCTCAGGCCGGCCCAGCCACCCCAGGGCCTTTGCACCTGCAGTCCCTCCCTGTCTGAAGTTCTCTCCCTCCAAGCCTCTCCGTGGGCCAGTGGAGAGCCTACCAGCCCTAACCCTAACCCCAACCCTTACCCCATCTGAAGCAGCATTTCTGCCCCTCCAAGGGCCCTGATTCTCCTTTGAGGTTTTGTCGCCCCTGACACACCAGATGCGCCAGTGGTTGGGGGCTTGCCTCCGTCTCCCCCGCCCCGTACGACGGAAGCTCCCTATCACTGCAGCGGCGCTGTGCCTGGGGCACAGATGAAGGCCGAGTGGGGGGCCCTCGCAGGAGGGTCCTAGAGGGACAGAGGGCTGCCAGCCCCCCGGGGGAAGGGTGACCACCATCCCCTCGTGTTAGGACCATCCGGGCTGCCACCCCCTGAGACCCCAACCCCAGTGATCCCTGTACCCAGGGGGCTGGAAGAGGATGCTGGTCGGGGGGATCGCCCTTGGGATCAGGCGGCAACCACACCTCAGGTCGGGCAGGAAACGGTCTGCAAGGGAAGCAGCAGGTGCAACAGCAGCTGTGGGGGACCAGGTGGGAGGTGTGGTTCACCCAGCGGCGGGGCCGCCTCCCCGGACCCTCAGTGACCAGCTCTACCCTGGCGGGGGGCGGGGAGGGAGGCACCCAACGAAGGTGGCTTGGGCCTTCCCTGCAGACGCATCCCAGGCCCTCAGCCGCCTCCACCTTCCCTCCGCTGGACTTAGGGCCTGGGGCCTGGCACCCCACACCGCTCCGTGGGCTCCCTGCCCTCCCCAGGCTCCCCCACCCGGTCGGCCTGTGTTGGGGTCCCCAGTCCCACCGCTGCTCTCCAACCCTGTCCACCACCATCCTCACAGGTGCTGGAGCCCAGGTCCATCTCGGGCAGGCCCACCCTCATCCCTGACCAGGCCAGAGGCTACCAGGGTCTGTCCCTGAGGGCCTCGAGGGGTCTGCCGGCTTCAGCCAGGCTATAGGCTTGGTCTCCTGGTCCCGGGGAGCCCAGGACAAGCTCAGGCTGGTGCTCTGGTCCCAGGCAGGCAGGAGCAGCCGTTTATTTTATTTTAAAAATTATTTTTTATTTTTAAGATTGTTATTTATTTCTTTTTGCCGCAATGCACGGCCTGCGCGGATCTTAGTTCCCTGACCAGAGATCGAAACTGCGCCCCCTGCAGTGGAAGCATGGAGTCCTAACCACTGGACCGCCAGGGACGTCCCAGGAGCAGCCGTTTAGAAGAAAGCTCCAGTGGCCCCCAATTTAGAGTACTATTATTGTTGTTTTTGTTTTCTGTTTATCTCTTTTCCTCCGCCAGGCTGGCACTTCCCAGCCCACCCAGCTAGGCCATCTTGGCCCACGGTGGGGTGGGGGCCAGCCCCTCCCAGGAGTGGCTATTTTAGAACCAGAGTCTAGACCAGTCCTGGGCCCAGAGGCACGGGCAGCAGATGGCCTGGAGGTGCTGGGAATGCCACTCGCTTCCGGAGAGCGTGAGCTCTCTCCCCCGCCCAGGCAGGTCCCAGAATAGCCCCTCCTGCGCTCCGGCTGTCAGGCAGATGTCCCGGGTGGCGGCTGCACGTCGCCACCTGTCCCCGCCATGGTCACACGACCGGCGGGCAGGCGGGCGGGACGCAGAGCCCGGCCATTCTCCTTGTAACGCGCCCCACCACTGGGGTCTGCCCCCTTCCCAACCTGTCCACCGCCGGTGCCCAGATGGACGCGCGGCAGACCATGGGCCTTCGCCGTGTTTCCCAATGGGAGGCCAAGGGCTCGCCAGCCTCCGCTGCGGATGAGTCTCCCCTCTCCCCTCTCAGACGGGACCTCCGGGCAGATGGGCGGGCAGACAGACCCAGGCGTGGGAGCCGCGAGCAGGGAGACGAGGACAAGCCAGAAGCCGAGGTGTGGATGCAACACCCAAAAGGCGGGCGTGCGGGACGGCGCCTGCGCGGCGGAGAAACCGGGTGCCTGTGGCCCGTGAGGTCCTGGGACCCCAACACAGGCCGACCGCCCGGAGGACCCGGGGAGGGCAGGGAGCCCACAGAGCGTGGGGTGCCGAACCCCCGCCCACCCTGTGCGCCCGGCATCCACTCACCATCTGGAGGACCCCGAAGAGGGGCACGAGGTAGCCGGCCCGGGCGGGGCCTGCAGCCGAAAGCAGCCCATGGAGATGAGGGAGAACGTGACCATGAGGAGCCCTGGGCGAGGTGGGGGGTCAGGGGTGAGGGGTCAGGGCTGCGCAGTTGTGCCCACACCTGCTCCCCCTGTCAGGTGACCATCACGGTGCCAGGGGCTTGGCCGCAGTGACCGGCTCAGGGAAGACCAACACGAACCGTCTCCGAGGTCGTCCCTGGCAGGTCCACCCCATGCGGCTGCTGTGGGCCGTGAACAGGAAGGTGCCAGAAGCTGCCCCATGCACAGGGTGGCCAGAGTCCAAGGCCGTCTGGGGGTGGAGGCTGGGAGATGGGGGACCCTGGGCTGACAATGTAGGAGGATTTGGCCCCAGAACTGACGTCGGTGACCTGGGTTCCTGTCACTGTGCCCCACTGAGCCATCCTGAGTCACAGATGGAGCTGGGCGGGGGGCTTGCCCAGTTTGCCTGGACGGAGAACTTTCTGGGCTGAGGGTTTAACCCTTTAGCGCCAGTGTGGGAGCACCTGAGCGCCTGTCAACCCTGCCTCGCTGGCTTGTCCCCTGCACTGCTCCCCTGGTTGGAGGACCCCAGATGGGGGCTCTGAGCGGTCGCTACTGGGCACGACTGCGGTCAGGGATGCCCTCAGTTCCACCAAGAATGTGTGCGTCCACCTGCAGACGTACCGTCTTTCCCACCTCCCGGACTGTCCTGAGAGGCCCTGGAAGACATAGGCTGGGGCAGCGAGACCTTCTGTAGAGCAGGGGTAACTGGGGCCTGAGCAGGGCCCTGGGGGGCAGGAGGAAAGGACGGAGACCCTCACCTCTTCCTCCTTCTGGCCTGTGCAGCCACATCTGCGTGAACCAGTGGGCTGTCACCCTCTCCGGGACAGATGTGACTGGATAAGGCCCAGTGGAGTCTCGGAGCGTGGGACACAGGGCAGAGCGAAGGGGTGACGCGCGGGCTGCAGACCTCCGTCTCCGCGGCCCTGAATTCTCAGCCGCGCCGGGCTCTGGACGCTGGCCGGGCGGCCGGGACTCACCTGAGGGGAAGCCGCAGATGACCTTGACCAGAAACACCGGCAGGACGCCGGGCTGCAGCAGCAGGCAGGTGATGGCCTTTAGGTCAAACACGCTGGCCTTGGGTTTCCCTGAGGCACCCAGAGAGGCCACGGTAGCACCGGACAGCCCGCGCCCCAGGGCCCACCAGGGATGTGAGCTCGTGCTCGGCGTGCCTCCCACCAGCACCCCCTGTGAGCCACGGGCAGCTCATCACACTCAGAACTGGGCCTCGGGCCCTGCTGACCCTGAGGACTTCTGAATTCAGGGGGCAGCCTGGCCTGGACCTGGGCTCCAAGTGATGGAGGCTCTCACTCCCCAAACCCGCATGATCGGGGCAGCTGCTGCCTGCCTGGCCCTGGATCTGGGCGACGGCATGACAAGGCTGGTGAGGCAGCTGTCGGCCAGGAGCGGCCGCTCTTGGTGGCTGCGAGCGGCTACCTCACCCTGATCCGGAGGACGCTTGGGTGTCACGTCATAGCCTCCCAGCTGGGTGTGGCGGTGCCCCCCTGCTTGCCTCTCCCAGGTTCTCCTATGCCTCGGCCCTTTTCCTCTGTCCCTTTGCAGGCCAGGCCCCCACCCAGGCCCTCCCTCTTGACTCTTTCTGGGCTGTTCCATCACAGCCAGGGCTCAGGGGCCTCCTGTCCCAGGTGGGTCTCTCCAGAGCTCTCGGTCACCCGGCCAGGAGGCATGGGGTCCCACTCTGTGCCAGGCCAAAGTGGCTGGGCTGGGACGCCCCTCTTGAGCCCTGACCTCTCCTCGTGGGGCCTGGGAGGCACGTTGAGCCCACAAGCTCTAACCTGACTGTGCTCTGCCCCCCGCCTCGGCACCCCGCCCCGGGAGCTGTGCTCCTGAAGCCGGCACCCTCACGTCCCCCCATACAGCACAGTGACCGACTGCTCTGGGCCTCAGGATCCTGGCTCGCCATGCCCGCCCCATCCCAGGTCCCTCATGGTCCTTCCCAGGCTCAGCTCCAGTGGTGTCCGAAGCTGGGAGATGCCCAGCATCCTGGAGGGGCCCAAGGAAGAAAAGAGGGCTTGAGTGGCCCCGAATGCCCCAGGCCCATTACCTGGAGCACGTCCCTCTGCCCCCGCAGATGAGAAGCCACCGGGGATGCTTTGGCACATCGTGGTCTTGGCAAAACCTCCCTGAAGGGTGGGCCGGGCTGGGGGAGGCCTAGCCCGAGGTCCAGGGTGCTGGCTGGTGAGAGGGGAGGGCTCACGCTTCACACTGGCCAAGCATCCAGAAGCGGCATACCTGGTGGAGTGTAACCGGTGAGGTGTGTCTGGTAGGGTAGACCCAGCAGGATGTACCTGGTGGGGCCTCCTTTGTGTGTATCTGCTGGGGTGTGTCTGGTGCAGCTTACCTGGCAGAGCAGCCTGGGCATGGGCGCTGGCCCCTTTGGTGCTGATGGGGATGCAGGTGAAGCTGAGGATGGCTCCCAGGAGGTTGACCACGAGAGCCAAGATGACCGGACACTGAATCCTGTGAGCGACAGTTGTGGTCACACAGGGCTCAGGCCCCAGGGCACAGGTGTCACCTGCGGCATCTCCCCCACCTGCCCCTTCAGTCACACTCAGGCTCTGACAGCTGAGAACAGCTCAAACCCCACCACTCATGTCCTCGCAGGCTTCGAACTGGAGGCCAGGCCACGGGACCCTCAGGGCACATTAATGAGGTGATGGATGAAGAAACTGAGAAAGCTCTTGCCTTCCCGACCCTTAGGCTGTGGATACAGCATATGGGTCCTGGAGGCCTCTGAGCATGGGTGGCAGTGGGAGCCAGAATGTGAGCCCCAGAAGGGCTGGGCAGGGGCCTGGGGCGGGTGGCAATTCTCCAGGGGACGTTTGGCTCCCAGGCTGCTGAGGGGTGAGAAAGGCCCCCGAAGGACCGGGCTGCTGTGCGGTGTGCACCCACTGCTCCCAGCTTGGACAGGGGTGTTAGAGGCCTGGGGGCTGTGTTCCGCGGAATTGGAACCAGCAGGGAGGATGCTCCCCAGACAACCCTGGCAGCGCCAAGGGTCCTCCCCACCCTGTAGGGCAGGAGACTGAGGCTCCCGGGGGAAAGGGCCCCGTCCCCAGAACCCTCAGTCCTCCGGCCTCTGGTGGGACTGGAGCGGCCGCCTGTGGTGGAGGAGGGCAGCTGAGAAAGTGACCATTGCCCTCAGTGACTCAGGTGAGGCAGGGTGCTGGCTCACGGTGAGCAAAATGCCAGGTGGCACTGGGGTCAGGATGCCAAGAGGGGCCGGAGAGACGGGGGCTGACGTGCCCGGTGGGCAGGGGCTTGGGTTTGAATCTCAGCTCCACCTACCCACATGGAAGACTGTGGGACCCCCTGCAGCCCCATCTGCGTCCTGGGGATTGTCATGCCTCCTTCCCCTCCTGGGGGAGGACAGGTCTGCACTTAGGGGGCCTCAGGAGCACCCCACCACCACTTCCTGGAGGAGGCGGGGCAGGCTGGGCCCATGGGGTAGGGAGGCGTTTGGCCCCCTGATAAACCTAGGACACAGCCCTCAGGGTGCCTTCCTGCCTGCCCACAGCGGCACCAAGGGCCGTGACTCAGGCACTCAGCTGTCACTTCTGAGGGAGCATTTCCCCTCCATGAGTCACTACATGGAAACTCAGCCCTCGATCTCTCTGGACCGCACGGGCAGACCTCGGCCTCCAGCTCCAGGCAGCCCGTGTCACCTGGGGACAAAGGCACTGGGGCCTGGCCCCTCTGATTGTCACCATTTCCCCCTGAGGGCTGGAGGAAGAGAAAGAGTGAAACAGAAGATTCATAGTGAGCCGGGCTGCTTCGACCACCAGGCCTGTGCACAGCCGAACACCCTGCCCCTCTGAAGCATGGAAAACTCCTATACATCCTGCAAAGGCCCTCTCTGTGAGGCCCTGCCCCTCTTCCCCAGTGGGCGCCCTGTCCTCTGAGAAGGGCTTGCTCTACTCCAGGGCCAGTATCCGCCCCCGAGGGCAGGTGGGCCTGGGTGAGACCCTGTGCTGAGACCCCAGTGGGCATCAGAGCGTGGGTGGACTAAATAGACGACAAAAGTCTTGCCCCAGACCTTGCGGTGTCCTGGGAGATGCCCTCCGCACTTTCACATGAGGCAGCCACAAGCTGCCTGTGACCTTCCTCCGAGTTCAAAGAGGACTCCCCCGCCCCTACTCCACCACAGGTGAACACACGCGCACACCTGCACACATACACGTGCATGGCTCCTGCGGGAACCCCAGGCAGGGAAGCCAGTGGGGACTCCAGCACCAGAGAACGGGCCTCGGCAGCCCCTTGTTTCTGGGGCTGGGACCTGCCCGGGCTCACACAGCTGGTCAGTGCTGCAGCCAGCACTGTCCAGTCTGCATGTGCCACCGACCTCTCCCCTCCCAGACGGGCTCATCTCTGGCCCCCAAGCCGATACCCACTGCCCAGGACGCTGGACATTTGGGCTTTCTGGCGGCAGGGGTTCCGGACAAGTGGGCGAGTCCATTGGCTGCCAGGTGGGAAGGGTCAGAGGGCACTGGACCCCAGAGTGAGGCCTCTGCTTAGACCCAGGGCAGGGATGAGGCTGGGTACGGGCCCCACAGGCCACCGTCAGAGAGAGGGGCCCTTTCTTCAGGACTGTGGCCTCACAGGCCCGCACGTCATTGCTCCGGGCCTGCCTGGGCAGGGACAAAACCAGCTTTCTTTGCCAGATGCCCCGGAAGTGCGTGAGAGCAGAGGCAGCCACTTAGATGGCTATTTCGGGAGGCTGGTGACAAGTGAGGGGCGGGTGGCAGGGAGCCAGGCCCCTTCTCCAGAGATCTCTCCTGTCCCTGTGTGGCGGCCAGTGAACCGAAGGGGACACGGGGACCCTCAGGGGCCCCAGGAGGGCGTCGGGGCCCACAGCTGCCCCAGAGGAGGCTTGGGTGTCCTTCCCCACCCAGAGTGCTCTCCGACTCCCCCAGACAAAATGCCAGAAAGGAAAGTGGACAGATGGCAGGAAAGCGTGACAGCCCCGGGTCCCACACGGGGGCCTTCTCGGTGGGGACGCCCTCCAGCCTCGTGCCCCTACCCACTGCTGCTCTGTCATCCGAGACACAGCTCGGGAGCCCCTCCCCGGGGGCCTTCAGTCAGCCCACCCCCAGAGTCTGCCTCTGGCCCTGGGGACCTCTGGGACGCCAATCGTGCAGGATGGGGCTCTGGGCCACCTGGCCACTGGCTCACTGGACTGTTTTTATGAACTGGGCACTGACCACGAGGCAGGCACTGTTAGCGTGTCTTTGTCTACCCACCCCCTTTTATTTTTGGTTGAATGCATGGACGGGAGACTGGACGGATGGACCCATGGACACCCTGAAAGGACCCCGGGCCAGACTCAGGGCACCCGAATTCTCTGTCCCTTCTCTGTAGCTACTCTGCTGGGTGACCTCCTTTCCTCAGATGCAAATGAGGGCTAGACTCACAGGGCTCACCCTCCCGGGACCCCCTGTCCCACGCCAAGGCTGTCCTGGAGGCAGCCCACCCCGAGTCCCGCCGAGGGAGGCCTCTGGAACTGACCACGGCTGCCACCGGTGCTGGTCAAATGGCAGCGGACACAGACGCCACTTTCATCCTTATCTCGAGGGCCCGGAAGTTGCCGAGGTGACATTATCAGGAGGGTGGCAGGCCTGGCCACCCGCCCACCCGGTGCGGACTCTGAGCCTGACGCCGTCTGTCTCCTGCCCGGCTTGGAGGGGACAGCTCCTCCTGCAGCTGGAGCTGCCCTCCCTCCCCGCGTGCTCCGGGGCTCCCAGAGGGGATGGCACTCGGCCAAGGTCCCCAGGCCTGGCCGCAGGTGGGGCTCAGGGCCTCCCGGGCTGCGTACCCCTGTCCTGTCCAACCTGAAGGGCAGGCTGGGGTCAGCTGGCTTCATGGGAAGCCTGGCCATGCGGGGATCCTGAGAGGCACCGGGCATCCAGCCTGAGCTTGCGGGGGAGAAGGCCCCCTGCCTCTCCTGATCCACAGTCCCTGGCCCTGTGGCTAGAACGGTGTCTGAAAATGGACGTCTTGTAGGTCCACCCCATCTTGCGCGACGTCAGCCCACCTCTGGTTTCCAAGTCCCAGAAAAAGGCCCTAACGCTGTGTCCGGCCTAACCCTCTGCAGCCCTCTGTGTCCCCTGAGCATCTGCCCACACAGGCCGCCAGGCAAGACCCAACCTCCTTCCTGCCCCGGGGCCTTTGCATGGGCTTTCCCTCTGCCTGGAACACTGTCCGGCTGACAGGTCTAGGCTGAGGTCCCCAGCCCCACTGCTCTCAGCCATTTGTGCCCTGTCCATGGACCTCCTAGCGCCTGAAACACCCAGTTATGTCTGCAGGGGCGGCGCGAGCCCCGGGGTGGGGGGAGACAGCAGGCCTGGCTGGCCCTGCGCACCCTCGGTGAGCCATCTCGAGCACCAAGTGGGGTAGGCAGCCTGGGTGACCCGTGAGTCACCCCTGTCCCAGAGCCGCTCAGGGCAGCCCTAGATGTCTACTCATTAACTCCAGTGACACTGCCGTGCCACTGGGGTGGAAACCTTCCATCAGCTGAGGATAAGGGTTTCCCATTCCCTCGCCCGGACCAAGGGCCGAGATACAGTTCTCGGGTCGACTGGCTCCCCCCAGGCCTCCAGATAAGCAGTGGGGTCACACCAGCCGAGTCACCAGGGCCTGCTGGGTGCGGCACAGGGCTTCAGTCAGAGCGGGGCCACACGCCGGCCAGTTAGTGCCCAGGAGGGCCAGCCGGTGACACTGAGGCCCCGGTTTGCCTGACCTCAAGGGTCTGTGGCTGGACCTAAAGGAGCGGCCACCCTGGTGGGCCACCTCCGGGGGGCAGAGCCTTTGGGGGCTGGACTGCGGGCCCAGCTGTACCTGTGGCCTGTGCGCAGCACCTCAGTGCTCAGAGGAGCAGGGGGTCCTGCAAAGACTCCCCCCACACACTAAGTCCAGCCATCAGGCCTGGGCTCTGCCTGACCCCACCATCAGCGGCGTCTGACAGGTGGCCCCCCCGCCCACTTCTCAAATCCCCGAGCACCCCCGACCCGGTACCCAACTCTGGTGGGCTTAGCAGGCTGGTGCCGCCCACCCCAGAGGCAAACGGCCCACTTGGGGGAGGGGATGATAGAGGCCTCCCCAGGCTGTGAGGTGCCAGGCTCAGGGACATGAGTCACAGAGCTGCCCCTCACCTGCTAAATGACTCAGGGCCCAGGTCTGGGCCCTCCATGGGAGCTAGGCCTCCCAGCCCTGAGCTCCAGACTGGGCCCAAACCAGTTATACCACTACCCAGCCCACGGCAGTGGCTGCCAAGGCCACTTCCTCCTTCCACCTGCTTCCCAGCAGGGGGTGGGGCACGGCTGGGGACTTTAGGGGCCTTTAGGGGACCGGGGTGGAGGTGGGCAGGGAGGAACGGCCAGAGAGACCTCACACTGTGCCTCAGTTTTGATCGAAGAAGGGGGGGCGGGAATGTGGCCTTTACATCTCGCCTGGGCCTCGCCGAGAGGCAGAGCAGGCTGCGGGCCAGCAGAGAGGCTGGACAAGGGAGATGGGGCATATACCCTTGCCATGGGGCGTCAAGGTCCCGGAGCCCACCTTCCCTGGGCCTTGGATGGAGACTGGGAGCTCCATGGGGGAGTCTTACCCTCTCTGGGGCCTCGGAGGAAGTGTATACAGTACCTTAGATCTTGGGATGAAAGAAGGGAAGCTAGTGGGATGCTCAGGAAGGTGAGGGCAGGGGTGGGGGTGAATTTGGAGGCTACTGGGAGGGAGAGGGAAGTGAGTGTGCCCTCTGGGTCAGCAGCTGGGCTGGAGCAGAGGGCAGGGGGGAACGTGGGGTGGGGCTGGCCAGAGGAGGCCTCTGTGTGTGGTGGTGGCGGGGGAGGGGCGCTGGCAAGGTGAGGACGGTTGCCCATGGCGCACAGTAGCAGGTGGCTGGGCTGGGAGGTGAACTCCGAGTCTGGGCGCTGAGAGCCCCGTTGTGAGGGGCCGCTAGCGGGGCTCCTCCCTGCGTCGTGTCTCCCTTCCCAGCACCCTCCTCACGCCCCTGGTGCCCCTCGTCACTCTGCAGCCGCTGACCCTCTTTCTTCCCTCCCTGGGGTCAGAGGTCTTCTTTCTCTTAACCCTGGTCCGTCTACCAAATCAGGCTCCGCCCTCATTGCACATGGAGAGAGGCAGCCCTGGTTCAGGCGGAATCCGTCACGGGCGCAGGGCCCCATCCTTGACCCCCACGCCTGGATGTCTCCCTGGATCGCCCTCCCTTCTGGTCCTCCTGGTCCATCTTCCTGATCTCCGGCTTCTAACGTGAAGTGCCAGGCACCAGCCTCCATCTTAAGCAGTTCTCAGGGCTAAGAAGCCACCCCTCGAGGACACAGCCCCACTGTCCTCCAACTCAGACTTCCCCACCCAGCCACCCACTCTGGGGTTCCTTCAAGTGTCTTCTGAGCACCAGACTCATCCTGACGGAGACCCAACTCCCGCTGGCACCCTGGCAGCTCAGATCTCAGCGAGGCCCTCGACTCCTCCAGGGCCAGCCCCAGAGTCTGGGCACGGCCTTGAGTTCACACTTACACCCCAGCCATCAGCAAAACCAAGCCAGAACCTGCCCCTGCCCTCTCCCCACCACGGCCATCCCTTGTCCACCTGCCGTCCTCTCCCACTTGGACTGATTCAGTAGCCACCTCTCTGGTCTCCCCGAGGTGGCCCTAGCCTCCACATTCTCGACACAGCAGCCAGGTCATCCCCTGGCCCTGCTCACGCCTCCCAGGGCCCCATGGCCTGACCCACTGCCCACCCCTTCTCCACTCCAGCCACACGGGTCTTCTCGCTTCCCCAACCTCCGGGCCTTTGCACTTGCTACCTCTTTGCCTCCCCAGATGTCCTCCCGCCTGACGTTATAGGAATACACATCATGTTCATTTCATCTGAGGACTTGCCTGTCCCATTCACCACTGTATCCCAGAACCTGGAATCCCAGGGGCACTTAATAGGTGTTCAATAAACATCGATGGGGAAATGAATGAAGCAGTCCTGCCCTCCGCACCCCACCCTCCTGCTCACAGCACTTAGCAGAGCCGGCCACCCCCAACCCAGCTCTGAGGAAATGATGGGGAGGGGGTGGGGGGTGGAGGCCTTGAACAGACCTCCCTCGAGAGAAGGAGCTGCCTTGACAAGGCACCACTGTGCCCTCCTGTCCCCCAATCCCTGGGGCTCAGCCATCATCCGGCTCTCAAGTCTGGGGCTGGTCTGGGGGCACTCAGGGAACCTGGGAAAACTAAGGCACCCAGGGGCCCCAGCATAGGGTCATTCAAGATGGCTGGGCCAGGTGCTGGCCTCATGCTGAGTGCATGCATGTGTGGTTCGGACACCAGGAAGGCCCCTCGCCTGAATGGAGGCCCAGGGCAGCTCATCCAGGCCCAGGCAGGGTGGGCGGGTCACCAGCTGGCACAGGGCCTCCACCCACAGCTGGGCCAGGCACCTGGATCCCCAGAGCAAAACCAAGGTCTTGGACCTGAATGAAGGTAAGGTGCAAAGTCCATTCCTATGTAGGAAGCTGGTTTTGAGTGGATGTTGGAGTGCCTGGGGGGAGGAAAGAGGGTGGGGCAGCATAGGGGGCAGCAGCAGAAGCGAGGTCTTTCTCCCTGGCCAGGCAAGGCCTCTCCAGGGCCAGGTGTCCTAAGTCCAAGGGTATGCACGCCTAGGGCCACTGGAACAGACGGCTCTGTGCAGCCCCACTGCAGGGTCTGTCCCTGGAATGGGGTCCACTCTGCAGACCACATGTGAGAGCTGCCGCCCACAGGCTCTCAGGACGCTGGGCAGGAGTTGAGTTTAGCCCCCGGACCCCTGGGTGCGCGAAACTCGGGGGGGGGGGCGGGGTGAGGGCTATAGAGACCTTTAGTTCACACACGCTAGCTTTTTACCCGCCCTCCCCCCCCCACACACGGCAAGCCACCCTCGCTCCTTCTGGATGCTGCCCACAGCATCCCCATCGCAGGGAGGTGACGGCACCATCACCCCGCCCCCAAGGCCTGCCGTCTGGTTCCTTTAGGTTCAGCGTGGAACCTCCCAGGAATGAGTAGCCTGAGCGCAGGGACCTGGTGCGGCTGCAGCATGCGGCGACGGCGCCCCCAGCCGGCCGCCCCGCCCACGTCTTCCGGCCCCGCCCACGTCTTCCGGCCGCAACGCCACTGCTGGCCACGCCCGTCTGCCGGCCGCGCTGCCCCCTGCTGGCCACGCTCACGTCTGCCAACCGCACTGCCCCCTGCTGGCCACTCCCTCATTTGCTGGCTGCACTGTTCCCTGCGGGCCGAGTCCCCGCGGGCCCTGCCCACCACTCCTAGCTAAGCCCTCGGACCCCGCCCACCGAAAGGCCACGCCCCGGATGGCCACCCCCAGCTGTAGGTTCCTGCAGGTCACCCTCCCATGGACCCCACCCGCTCAGCGTGCACATGGGGAAACCAAGGCCCAGAGAGGTGGCGGGGCTCGGCTGAGGGGCCGGAGCGCGGCGCAGAGCCGACCCAGCCTTGGCCGTCCTGACCCGTACCCACACCCTGCCTCGTCGGCCCGGCCCCCCTCCCCCGCCACGACCAGGTCCCCGTCCCGGACACTCACCCGCACGTGCTGCTCAGGGTCCCGCCAAGCAGGGAGCCGAAGATGACGCCAACGCCGAAGCACAGACCCAACCGGCCCAGGGCCGCGGGCCGCTCCTCAGGCGCAGACAGGTCCGTGATGGCCATCTGGGCGGCTACGGGGTGGGACGGGGCTGCTGACAAGCGCGGCCCCCGCTCCGACCATCTTGTGGCCTATGGACCCAGGCCACGCCTCACCATCCCCGCACCCCAGACCCGAGCCACAGGCCACGCCCTCACACCACTCCACTCCTCTGACCTGCCCCCACCCCCAGCCACCCCCGACATCACCCGCGGGACCCCGACATGCCCCCAGGCCGCGTGCTCCCACCCTGGTCACGGCACAGGCCACACCCCATTATTCCTCACCTCGGACCTGCCCCCTTCCGCGGGCTACGGCCCGCATCACTCCTCCATCCCGGTGCTGTGCTCCAGACTAGACCGGCACCCTGGGAGTGGTCTCCGCCCCAACCCCTGGCTCAGGCCACGCCCACACCAAGCTCCCCCGCCTCCCTCCGGTCCCACCCTTGGCCCTGGCTC